GCCCCTCGAGCTTTTGCAAAGACCGCCCAACGAGCCTCAAGCCCGTTGTTTGGCCTACCTCGAGGGCCTTGTCAGGACATACGGTAGCGAGCAGGAGGGCGTAATACCCTCCACCGCCGGCCGTAGAATTCATGTTGTGCAAGCTCGGCTGGGAGAGCTCTCTCGTCGTCTTTCGGACCTGGGCCCGATTGGTGATATCTATTCGTGGGTCCCCCCGGCCGATCCCGAGGTGCCGCCGGACACTCTCCCTGAGGACCAGCAGCCCTACCAACCTGCCCAGGCAGACCGTCTGCAGATCAGTGGCCGGGGTCAATGGGACCCCCTGCCTTTCCTGCCGCCCGACCTTCAGATGGCCTACGCTGAACCACGGAGCCTCCTTTTTGGCGGCCTTCCTGGGCCTGAGGCCTTTCCCGACTGCGCCCGGGAGGACTCCACCGAGACACTCAAGCTGGCCCTGCTCTGGTCTTCCCAAGACCTCCTGCACCTCGAGCCCGCCACGGCTGACCTGCATTTCTCGAGCTACACGAGGATCTTTGCGGCTAGGAAAGCCTCGGGAAAGCTACGGCAAATAGGGGACTGCCGGGGCCCCAATTTTGCGGAGGCCCGGCTGCCGGGACCGTCAAGGTGGCTCCGACCGGAGAGGTACTTACCGCCCTTTCCTGTTGCCCCGCTCGGGAAGGCCTGTGCCTGTGCATAACAGATAGGCGTGATTTTTATCACCAGCTGAGGTGCACACCGGAAAAGGCGAGACTTAACAGACTGCAGCCCGCTTTGCCGGCCCAGGCTTTTGCTGGGACGCCCGCCCTGCTTGATCTTCAAGGCCGCCTTGCCAAGAGCCCGGACCCTCTAGGCTCCTATGGTTTAGACCCGGACCCCCCTAAGCCTGGCGGTAGGGGTGTCGATAAGGTGCAAGCGTGTTTCTCCGCTGTGCTCCAGGGAGATCATCTCGGAGTGGAGGTGGCAACGGCCAGCCACGCTGCGTACTTGGAGGGCCAGGGCCTGTTGCTGCCACGTCAGCGTCTTCAGTCCAACAAGCCGGTGCTTGACAGCCACCTCCACCAAGGGCTGATCATAGACGATTTCTTTGCCATCGCTAAAATCAGCAGGTCAGTGCACAATGACCTCTCGGCGGGGACCCAGACCCCAGCGAAGACCTGCATGGACCAAGCGCTGGCTGCCTACCAAGCCGCCGGCATCGAAGGATCGTCCGAAAAGGACGTGGTGAACTCGACGGTCGGGTCGGTGGCGGGAGCTGAAATCGACAGCCGGGAAAATACGCTGTCGAGGGGTATGTGCCTGATTGGCGCTCCTCGGTCGAAGCGTTTCGTGTTGGCCGACCTCAGCCTTGAGGCCTGCCAGCTGCCAGCCACGACTGACTCGCTCAACGCTTGTTTGCTAGGCATCTGGGTGTCCGCCTTTACGTACCGCCGGCCCTGTTTTTGTGTGTTCAACCGCGCCTTTGCCCTCTCCCCGTTAGGAGAGCTGGACCCGGAGGCCCCCAAGATGCTTGAGCTGCCGAGGGCCGTCGCTCAGGAGTTCCAGTTGGCTGCTGCTTTGGCACCGGTCGCCTGTGCTGACGTTTCTGCACCCTACGCCGACCGCCTCTACGCAACTGATGCCTCAGAGGCAAAGGGGGCTGTCGTATCGGCCCCTCTGCCCGAGCACCTGAGGTCCATACTTTGGGCGACCGCTGACAGGAAGGGGGCCTATGCTCGGATATGCTCCCCTGCCCAGGCCCTCTTGCGCCGAGCTGACCCGATGTTTGAAGAAACTGCCGGGGCCGCCCAGCCTTCGCCTGAGCGCCCCCTTGCTTACCTCTTTGACTTTCTTGCCGTGGGTGCTCGGGCCGAGCTCGTGCTCAAGGAGGTGGCGGGAAGGGGCTGGAGCTGTGGACCTCTGCTCTCGAGCAGCGTCTCGCCTCACTACTGCCTGGGCCTGCCTCGGGTCCTTGACTGGGTGTTTTACCTTATTGACGAGGATCGGGTCCGAGGCATTTATATTGCAGAGCCGCTCCAGGCTAGCCTCGCTGCCTTCCGCCATGCCCTGGCAACGCTGCTGAAAGCTCGGCCCGCGGATGTTGCCTGCATGCTCGAAGCTCCGTTTTCTCTCCGAGGCAGGGCTCTAGAACTTTGGGGTGGCGCTGTGGGGATAGGAGGGGTTAATGAGTGCACCGCCTCGCTCTGTGCCTTTGGTGCCCCCTACCTCAAGAAGCTGCGTTTCCTTGCTACAGGGTGTGACCTCGCCCCCCTTGCAAAGGACTGCTCCTGTCAGGGCCCCCACTCAGCCGTTAGAGGGGCCTCGGCGAAACCCGGTTTCGTACCAAGGTCTGGCCTTCAGGCCTGCATTGCCGGGGTCTTTCATAATGCTCTGCGGTCGCGGGCCGCCTGCCTCCGCGAGGCTGACCTGAAAATCGACGGGCTTGAGAGGCTCGCTCCCTCTGACCTTGCTTTGTCCCTTGACTGGAGCGTTGATCAGGTCTGGAGGTGGAAGGGCCAGGTCCACATTAACATTCTCGAGGCCTCCGCCCTTGCTCGCCTGTTCACGGCCCTAGCTGTGCGAGGAGGGCCCCTTCTGTTTGTTAACTTGTGCGACTCCCACGTTGCTAGAGCTGCGGTCTCGAAAGGCCGCTCTGCCTCGCCTGGACTTCGGCATGCCACCCGTCGCGCCTCCACGGTAGCCCTTGCGGCTGGCCTCTACCATGGGGGCATGTACTGCCCGACTCGCCTGATACCGGCTGATAACCCGACCCGCGACAAGGTCTTTGAGTCACCCGTTTGCTCTCTTGGGCCGGCTTTCTGGAATGAGGACCGGCTCCTGCACGACGCAAGCCGGCCTCGCTTGCGCCGCTGGGCGGCCAACTGGGCCCGCCTCGTCTTCGCCCTCAGCCCAACCGTTGCTGACCTTTGCTTGCAGCCTGACTGCGGGAGGTACGCCACCCTCCCTTTCCGTGCCTTCTCCCGGCCGTTGGCTTTCGACTCCACTCTTGGATTCCCCGGTGAAGGGCCCTCGGGTCCCTCTTGGATTTCTCGGCTTATCCTCGGCCTGCTCCTCCCCCTGTCTCTTCCTTTGTCCTCCGGTTCGAGGCTTCAGGGCTACTTCTGGGTTTGGGTTGTAGCTAGGCCCGTCGCCGCCATGGAAGCTGCCCGTGCCAGGAAGACTGAGATTCAGAGGAAAGAGTCCCGAGCAGGTACCTGCCTTGAAAGGGGAAGACCAATGCTGGCTACGACGAGGAACCGCAGAGAGAAGCTGCGGGATCTCTTTGAGAAGTGGCTCGGCCACCGCGGCCGCACGTGGAATGGCCTCCTGGCGTTGGCGAGGTATGATGTTGAGCAGCTGAATGAAGTGTTTATATGGTATGGACAGTGGTTATACACAGAGGGCCGGCCCTACTACCACCTGTCGGAGACCATAAACAGCTTCTCTGTTGCTTGCCCTCAGGTCCGGCGACAACTTCAGCCAGCGTGGGATATCTGCTTTGCATGGCAGAGACAGGAACCACCGACGCATCACACAGCCATGCCCTGGCAGATACTGCTGGGTCTGCTTTCCATCTCGATGCTCTGGGGCTGGATGGACGTAGCCGGTATTTTGGCCATTTGCTGGGGGGGGCTGGCACGGGTCGGGGAAGCTATGGCTGCAAAGAGGCGTGACCTCGTTCTCCCGGAGGACGTGGGCGCGGAGTGTGGCGCGGATGGGTCCATGATCCTGATGGCGGTCATGGAGCCCAAGACCAGGTTTAAAGCTGCGAGGCACCAGTGCCTCAAAGTGGATCAGCCTCAGTTGGTGAAGCTGATCCGACAAGCCTTCCAGCACCTCGGCGCCAATGAGAAGCTCTGGCCAAAGTCGGGGGCCACCCTTCGTGCTCGCTTCCAGAAGCTGCTGACGGCCATTGGCATCCGAGCCAATGCTGTGGCCAACGTGAGGGATTTTGACCTCGCAAGCCTACGGGCAGGCGGAGCAACATGGTTGATGGGCTCCTCAGAGAGCCCAGACCTCGTCAGGAGACGAGGCCGATGGGTGACAGTTCGGGTCATGAAATTTACGTTCAAGAAGTGGCGGCTATGATGTACTTACCGCGGCTGGAGCCGGAGCTGCGGCAACACATCTTCAACTGGGCAAACGTTTTCGACGAGGCCCTCGACTACGTTTCCTGGTGCCAGGCCTTGGGCATTTTGCCCAAAGCCTGGCTCTTTCTCCTCCAGCAAGGCGCCCTACATGCTTGATTGCGCGGGAGTCTTCTATTTCTATGCTTTATGGTCTGGGTGTCGGCGGAGACTTTAACTTCGGCTTGT